AATGAGAAAAAAAGGTAGTTTTAGTCCTCAATTTCAGGGCCTGGCTCTCTCCCAAGAGGCCTCAGTGGTTGTGTCACTGCACACAGTATGACCTTAATTCTCATAGAAGTATTTTTCAAGCAACTGGTTTCTCGGTAGCCAATAGTTCAATATTAATTATCTACAAGCTGTTCTTTATTTTACTGTGGTTTAATTTTAATTAAATTGTAGTTACAAGAAAGTAAGACAACATTTTGTTTTCTGAACTCAGGAAGGGAAGGGTCCCAAACTGTACTCTTTTAGATCACAGATACATATCTGCGTTGTGCCTTGATACCTTTGTGTTATAGTTAGTATTCAAACACGCAGTAACATTAGCTGTCTATTATTCCAAAACACAAAACATTTCCAGACAACACTCAAAACACTCAAAGGAAATCTTTGATGTGTGTTATAGAGACTCATGCCCAGGAGGCCGTCCACAGTGGTGAGGCCAATCTCTCCCTTCATGCATAGAGGATCTGGCTTAACACTCACTGTTCTGACATAGGAAAGGACAAGGCACTCCTCTGAGACTTCTGCCAACTGGCACAGGTTACATTGAGTGAACAATACGTACTGACATTTGTGTCTTCCACAATTCATGATAAATAAGCAAACTGGTTATTTGTAACCAGCAAACTTGCTTCTCTGAAAAGGGCTGCTACTGGATGCTGCAGAGCTCATGTTCCTTCCCAGTACCAGAAAGGAAAAATCAAGTTACATTGATAGCTGTGTTTATAGTTCCAAGCGCTCCTGTAATAATTGCATCAACCTTCCACAATGGCAAAAGCTGAATGACCTACTTCTTAAAACTCCGATTTAACTTTTTTACTCAGTTTACGTTAATTTTACAGTTGAGTTTCGTTTTCATTACCTATCCAACAAATGAAAAGGAAAATGGCCTCCTCCTTATTAAAATGAAAACCAGGCTATGTAAAAGACACTGCTGATACTGACATGTTAAGATCAACCCAACCATTTTTTATGTTTAACAGCTCCTGATAAATAATGTACAGCCGTGTGTGGCTTGGCCTATCTTATGGTCCTATTTTCAAGAGGGCTTACTCTCACCTTTATTAAACTCGGGGCTTTTATATAAGCCCCTACAACTCACACAGATCCTAAACCAAATCTCCCAACACACAGGAAGTATGCTTTTGTCTCATCTTAGCAAATCAGGGGGAAGAGACTGGTGTTTGGGGGACACAAACTGTGGGCCTTTACCCCTCAGAAAGTGTTACCTTGGCTTTCTGCAAATGAGCCCTCAGACCTGCTCCAGGGAGCAGTCATTTCACTGTCACTGTGGAAATGAAGGAGCTGAGCCACCTCCCCACACCAAAAGGTACAAATAGGAAGAAGCGAAGAAGCATCTAGCTGTTTCCAACCAAAGCAATCACTTACTGATCAAAGAACTTAAAAAATATTTCCACTTAATATCTGACTCTCACAGAGGTAAAAAGTTCAAAAGCTTAAAGCATGGAGGGAGGAAGGGAAAGGGCACCCTGAATCAAACCAGTCTACCCTATAATCAAGCAAAACAGCAAACCATTTCTGAGAAAATACATAGGCCCATCATTCCGTGCAGCAGCCTTCAATCAACATTCTTCACAGTGTGGTGTGGCCCTTTAAAGGCCATCATGGCTTTTACATAGCTGAGGAGACATGAAAGATGTCTGGATAAACACACACGTGTAAGATGTATGTGTGCAGAGATGTATGAGGCAGAGAAAGGGGGGCGCTGCTGTTAGCCCACATGTTCAGTGCGCAGATCTTAGAGCTTTCTCAGCCACCTCACTGCAAACCCCGAGCTGCCATCAATTTTGGCCGTTTTTAAAACTGTGGTAAGAACAAAGCCCTCAGTGCAGACTCTAAGCATCTTCCATGATAGGCCAGACTCATTCCAAAAAGCTGCAATTTGAAAACTCTAGAAACTTTAAAATTGAGCTGCAAGTGTCTGAAAAGGAGTACAAACTCACAGCAAAAGCCCCGGCACAGCACTAGGGCCACTGCACCTCCCCTGTTCCTGGGTCTCACAGGTCTTCCGAGGCCTCCTCTCTACTCTCCTACGACAGCCAATTTCTAGAATCCCTGAATTTGGTTCCTCTCCTTGTGCTCTCACAGCATCCACAGAGACCATTAAGACCTGAAACTCCAGGTCTACAGCCAAGCATCCCTGCTAGACCCTGCAGAGCATGAGAATAGAAAGCACTATTTGAAGGTGGAAGTTTCACGGTTTTACTAAGTTTAAGCTTCCACAGAAAAAACTGAATTTGAACTAATAATATGAAAATATAGATTTCCATCTATGAAACAAATAGCTTTTCCGCCAACAAAAATCGCTTTAGTGTCTTCTACACCAAAGGTAAGACTATTCGATGCAGGCTTCGTCTGCCGAGGAAACCACATGGCCCCTTCGACTCAGATGCTTACAGCACCTCTCATCAGGGGATGTGGCTTCAGAAATAGACCTCGATTTAACATCTGCCTGATAAAAACTGACTGGGGGCTGGAAGGATAGCTCAGCAGTTAAGAGTACTTCCTGCTCTTACAGAGGACCTGAGTTCAGTTACCAGCATCCACTGGGACAGCTTGCAATCACCTATAACTTCAGCACCAGGGAATCCAATGCCTCTGACCCCCAAGGGCACCTGCACTCATGTGTATATACCCCTCCACAGACATACATGCACACGTAATTTAAAAATAATAAAAAATTAAAAATATTTTTAAAAAAGAACTGACTAGATAAATTTAGAATACCTCTCCCCAAATTAGAATGGTCTGGGACAGATATGGTGGCGCACGCCTTTAATCCCAGCACTCAGGAGCAGAGGCAGGCAGATCTCTGTGACCTCAAGGCCAGACTGGTCTATATAGCAAATTCCAGACTAGCCAGGATTACATCATAAGACACTGTCTTAAAAAAGAAAAAGAAAAAAAATTAGAGTGGTCTGTTTGTAAAACACAGTTCATTCTATTAGAAAGCAAGAGTTCATTCCACCTTAGGTAGCTTTAGTTATAATTTTACACTTTTATTACCTTTTATATTTCAAACTGCAGCTCTCTGGAATGAGTCCGCTCTACCACGGTCACCAGGCACCATCTTACTGGCCCACATTCTGTTATTATTTTTCTGAATTACCTAACAGTCTCTGCTTTCCTCAAAAATAAACAGAGGCAGAGACTTCTGCTTAAACAAACATTATTTCCGGACACTTCCATTATCTTCGCTACCGTAATACTTCTAGACCGCTACAACTGCAAAAACGAAGACAAGCAACCAATAGCTGTTTAACTGGAACGAAGGCTGACTGCCAAGCTGCAGGCGGATGGAATGAAGTCTGCTTTGTGAAGTCATTCAAGTGTGCCCAGCACATTTTGGAGCTGGCTGTCCAGGACAGTAACCTCCACAACTGTTAACTGTGTAAATTTAAACACAATTTAAAATTCAGTTCATCAGTCACATTTCAAGTGTCTGATGGTCCCACGTGCTTGGCTGGCGACAAGCGCACTGTACAAACAGCACAGGTGCAAAATGTTTCATAACACCCATCAGTGCAGCATGTGCTGGGCAGGGCACAGTGGTTCACACCTGTAATCCCAGAACTCAGGAGGCTGAGGCAGAAGGATTGCTAAGAGTTTGAGGCCAGCCTGTCTGGACTACAGTGTTGAGACCTTGTCTCAAAACAAAAACAAAACAAAAAAATAAGAAAATTTTAGTTTAACACATGGGAGAACATATCGTGCATATTTGAAACACTTCTCCTGTGCCAGGCACAGAGGTGCGTGCCTTTAATCCCAGCGCTCAGGAGGCAGAGGCAGACAGATCTCTGTGGGTTTGAGGCCAGCCTCGTCTACACTGTGAGTTCCAGACCTGCCCAGGTTACAGAGTGAGACCCTGTCTTAAAAAATGAAGCAAACAATGCCGGGCGTGGTGGTGCACGCCCATAGTCCCAGCAGGCGGATCTCTGTGAGTTCGAGGCCAGCCTGGTCTACATAGTGAGTTCCAGGACAGCTGGGGCTACAGGGAGACCCTGTCTCAAAAAGACCAAAAAAAAAAAAGGAAAGAAGACGAAACAAAACTAACCAAAAACAAAAACACCAAAACAATGTTTCTACTTAAGTTTTAAGTAGAAATGGGAAGCCTAATCAATCAGGTTTAAACACATGCAATTTCAGCAACTATTAAAATAGTTTAAAAGTACTGCTGAAATGCAAAATGCTAAAAAGAACAAGAAAGAGTTATTGTTCTGTGTAAACAGCAAGATTTATTCATTAAATGTCTATGCTTTAAAGCTGCAGTTTGGCAGCAGGCCTGGTGCCTATAATCACAGAACTCAGGAGCAGAGGCAGGAGGATCTCCAGTCTAAGGCCAGCCTGCACTAACATACTAACATAAGAAGTATCAGGCCAACTAGGGCTACAGAATGAGACCTGTCTCAAAAAACAACAAAACAAATACAAAGATTATCATTCTAACAAATTCAAAGCTTTAAAGAACTCTCAGAGAAGTTGTTAATGAATTCAACCATTCACAAGCACTGAGATCATACTTTGTTAATTACAATTACTCTCTAAGATCTTTAGTTTTTTTTTTAATTGGTAAATTAATAACTGTACATATTTACAGGATAAAATACTGATGATTATCTATAAAAACAATATCTTTTCCATATTAGTATTTACAATCTAAGTCTAAGCTGAAAAGTTTGATGTAGAAAAATACAAGAATCATCAAACCCTACCTATCAAAGTTAAGCCCGCATTATAACGTCTTTAGAGTCCTAGTTTACTAATTAGTATTAGACAAAAAAACAAGGACTTGTAATATAAACAATACACCAAGTATGCAGCCCAGCTAATATGAAAGGAATAAATACCTTTAGTGCATTGCTAAAGTATTAAGAATCTCTCCGGTGTCTTAGGAAAGACAAGTAAAAACATCAAAGCCCCCCGCCCCCAGGTGACCCTGAACTCACCATCTTTAAAATCGCTCCATACAGCCGCAGGAGCACTTTGCGTGGCTCGTCGCCAACGCTGGCAATGGCATCTGGCAAGGAACATTGGAACAGCATGTTACTGAGGCCACCCCTGTTGGAAAGGAGAGAAGGAAACCATCATTCTTCCTGGGTAGATGCAGAGAAGAGGGAGGGATGGCACAACTGTTCTTATCCAAGTCTTGATGTACTGTCTCAGGATATCTCAAACTAGAAGGGTCAACTCCCATTTCAAATTAATTCTACAAGTTCAACTAAAAATGGACAACTTCCCAATGTGTTCTTTCTAGAGGTGCAAAGCTTCTTTTTGAATTGCCTTTGTGTGCCTTGAGTAGGATGAAGACCGAGGAGGAAAGTCCTCAGCACTAAGTGGGAACTCGCAGATGCTTGTAACTACAAGTTTTTGTTTTTTTTTTTTTTTTATGCGTATGTGTGCATTGCCTGCATGTAGGTAAGTGTACCCGTGTTGTGCAATGCCCACGGAGGACAGATCCCCTGGGACTGGAGTTACAGACTGTTAGCTGCCATGTGGGTGCTGGGATTCGAACCCGGGTCTTCTGTAAGAACATCCAGTGGTCTTAACTGCTGAGCCACCTCTCCAGCCCCAAGTTTTTATTTTTATGGTCTATGGTATGATTTCCAAAATATATAACCCTAATCACCAAGCCAAAATCTCTTATTTTTTCATTGTGGGTGTGGGATTGCATGTGTAGGGCAGAGGACAACTTGTGGAAGCTGGTTCTCTCCTTCCACCGACTGGGTCCAGGGGATAAGAACTCATAAGTCTCCCGGCATGGTGGCAGGCAACCTTACCTGGTGATTCATCTTGCAGGCCCTCTTGGGACAATCTTAAGCCTTTTTCTCTAGAGCTTTTCACTTGGCATATGCATCCCAGAGCTATCCCTTTTGTGTGAGTGTTAGCAGAAATACCTCAGCCACTTTTACTAGTAATCATTTCAAAAGGCCTGCAACATGAACTGGGTTAGATGTCCAAAGAAACAAGGCCCTCAACAGCCTACTGTCAGATTTGGCTCCAACCACTAGCGCTTTTCAAAAGCAAGTTGGAGTGCCCTTTAAACAGGAAATAGCCTTGGGGCAAATCTACTGCCTGGCTTGGAGATGATGTACAAAGAATGGACAGACAACACAAACTTCTATACAATTATGAATTATTGCTTCAACTGAAGTGGACTTCAGAGTCCCTAAATCCCATTCTTCTTGTTGATTTGGTTTTCATCCCATCCCCCTCCCACAAAGGGTCTCTCTATGTAATCCAAGCTGGCCTAGAACTCCTGCAACCCACACCAAGTTTGATTTTTTTAATTTTTTTTTTTTTTTTTTTTTTTGACAGGGTCTCACTGCAGCTCCAGCTGGCCTGGAACTTTCTACATAGACCTAGCTGGCCTCAAACTCACAGTAATCCACCTGCCTCTGCCTCCCAAGTGCTGGGACACATTTGGGCTTGATTTTCTTTTCTTAACAAATTAAAGAACCTGAATATACTCCTACACAACTTCCCCCAGGTTTAAATTAATCATACTGAAGAAGTTTGAGGGTGGGTTTTTTGTTTTATTTAGTTTTTGGTTTGTTTTTTGGAAACAGGGTCTCACGTGTTCTAGGCTGGCCTCAAATTCTTTTCACTGTGTAATCAAGGCTGACCTTGAACTCCTCATCTTCTGCCAATAATTCCCACCTCCCAAAGCGGGGGGATTGTAGGCATGTGCCACCACACCTGGCACAAAGTTTCTCAACAGATTACTTAAGAACAATCCTAAGTGTCTAGAAATGACAGACAGCAAGAATAAGGCCCTATTTTCCCAAAAGGCAAGTAAGCTTAAAGATCACTGTTACTCTGGTTTAAAGATCAGAAATAGGACTTGAGAGGCAGCTCAGGGGTTAAGAGCACTTTCTATTCACTCAGGACCTGGGTTCAATTCCTAGCACTCACATAATGGCTCTGTTACCCTTTTCTGGCCTTTGAGGGCACTATACCCATACCAGTATACGATACCAGTATACATACAGGCAATCAAAATACTTGTGCAAATAAAAATAAATAAAACACTTAACTTGTCCAAATAAAATTTTAAAAATTTAAATTGAAAAAAACATTAGAATTAAGGTTCTGACTCTTGAAGTCAGCAGGAAGAGGAAGAACAAGCAGCCTTCCTCTTTCCAGGCTAAGTGCAGGGCAGCAACTCCTCTGTGGGCTTACCAAACCCCCCACTATGTGCAGTCATAGCTAACAGGGCTTCTGGCTACCAAGCAACAGGACAAGTCCTCGTTTTTCTTCCTGTCATAGACTCTCAGTCGGTCAAATAAACACCAGAGCAGACAGATGAACTACTGTTTCAAACTGTGTGACTTGATTCAAAGTTCAACCCCAATTCCCACAGAAGGCAGGCAGGCTGGTGTGGCCAGAAACGAGCTCATGACCCAGATATCCTTAGCATACTGTGTTAGCCATGGTCTGTTGTGCAATGGTGGTAGGGAACAAGCTGTTTAGCAACAATCCAACTAAATGAAGCAACATCACTGGCACCTCAACTATGAGAAAGTACCCAGGGAAAAGAAGCGATCAATGAGTCGCTCTGTCTAGCAACAGATCTGCTGTGAAGAAAAGCACAGAAATGTGTTAAAACACAACTGTCCACTCTACTGTTGAGCAGAAACACCCTCCCAAGTACTCCTGGTACTCTCAAGGATTTCAAAGGAATTTGAAACCACAAACTTTTCGTCGTCTTGATTAGCCACTTTACAAAATAATAATAAAATAAACAAAAACCATAAATTAAGTTTCAAACATAGGAAGCTGAACATGAGCATAAGTACAGGAAACTGCAGCAAGCACGGCAGCAGTGTCCACAGCACAAAGCGGGGCAAAGCTGCCTTTAACAATCTGTTAGGGGCTGGAGACGGCTTGGTGGCTAAGAGAGCTGGCTGCTCTTGCAGAGGACCTGGGTTTGGTTCCCAACACCCACACGGTACCTAACAACCTTCTTTTAACTTCAGATTAACTCCAGTTCCAGGGGATCTGATGCCCTCTTCTGGCCTCTTCAGGCACTGCAAAACGGGTACACAACATAAATTCAGGCAAAACACTCATGCACATAAATGTTTTTTTAAAAATGTTTTAATCAAAAAAGTTTTAGTCAGCCAGGCATGGTGGCACACGCCTTTAATCCCAGCGCTTGGGAGGCAGAGGCAGGCGGATCTCTGTGAGTTCAAGGCCAGCCTGGTCTATATAGTGAGTTCCAGGACAGCTGGGGCTACAGGAAGATCCTGTCTCAAAAAGACCAAAAAAAAAAAGTTTTAGTCAGAAAAGAAAATAACCCAATTCTCTTGGTAAATGCCTAATCAAGAATTCCATTCCAGGGCCTGAGGTATGACTCGGTGGCAGAGGGCTTGCCTAGACTACAAGGGAACCCTGGGTTCCAACTCCAGGAACAAAGGAGAGGGAGATTAACATCCAATTAATTTATTTTAAGGATAACTTGATTCATCAATGATAGTACATAGAACAGAAAAATGTCTGAACATTTCAAAAGCAGGGTTGGGGCCCAGCAGCCCACTGCAGGCTGCTCTGTGCCCAAGCTGAAGCAGTCGGCTTCTGACTCACCTTCAGGAAGACGGCAGCAGGCAGCTCCTAGGCTCTGGCTGCTTTCCTCAGACATGCATCCAGTTGTTTGCCTTTCAGATCCTAGAGTTCATGACCTAAAAACTATTCAGGGCTGGTGAGATGCCTCAATGCATAAAGGTGCTTGCCAACAAGCTTACTGATCTGAGGGCAATCCCCGGAACTCACATGGTGAAAGGAAAGAACTGTCTCCCACAAGTTATCCTCTGACCTCTACACATGGGCTACTGCACACGTCCACTCACCCCAACACCCCCCAGAAATAAAAATTATTTTTAAAAATTGTAAATCAGCCGGGCGTGGTGGGGCACGCCTGTAGTCCCAGCACTCGGGAGGCAGAGGCTGGCGGATCTCTGTGAGTTCATGGCCAGCCTGGTCTACATAATGAGTTCCAGGACAGCTTGGGCTACAGGGAGACCGTCTCAAAAAGACCAAAAAAAGAAAAAAACATGTAAATCAAACTCAAGAGATCTGCCAGCCCCTGCATCCTTAGTGCAAATGATGAGATTAAACGCGTGTGCTACCAGGCCCAGCTCCAAACATGATTTTTATTTTTAAATATTTTATTTATGCCGGGCATGGTAGCGCTCGCCTTTAATCCCAGCGCTTGGGAGGCAGAGGCAGGCGGATCTCTGTGAGTTCAAGGCCAGCCTGGTCTACATAGTAAGTTCCAGGACAGCTGGGGCTACAGAGACCCTGTCTCAAAAAGACAAAAAAAAAAATTTATTTATTATTTTCATTTTATGTGTATGCATATTTTGCCTGCATGTAGGTAAGTGCATCTGTGTCATGCAATGCCCGGAGAGGACAGAATAGACTGTTGGATCCCCTGGAACTGGAGTTATGGACAGTCGTTAGCTGTCATGTGGGTGCTGGGATTTGAACCCGGGTCTTCTGTAAGAACAGTCAGTGTTCTTAACTGCTGAGCCATCGCTCCAATTTTTATTTTTAAATATATTATCTTTATTGTATGTGTATGAGCATATAGCTTGCATGTATGTAAATGCACCCATGATATACAATGCCTGCAGAGGTCAGAAGAGGATGTCCAATCCCCTGGAACTGGGGTTACAAATGGTTGTTAGCCACCATGTGGGTGCTGGGAAATGAACCCAGGTCCTCTTCAAGCGTAGCCAGTGCTCTTAACTGCTGAGCCAATTCTCCAGCCCTCAAATGTGATTTTTGATGACTACAAAGTTTCATAGTCTCACCTCCACTGTTAGGGACATGTTTTCTAGATTTTCACTTCTCTGAATCATTATATAGTATTCTTGTATGTAAATATTCATCATCTGATGAGATCTTTTAAACTCAAGTTTTTCTGAAGCAAGTTGTTCTCTGATCTCCACACATACACTGTGATATGTGCATGTGCACGCGCGCACACACACACACACACGCACACACACACACACTGAAACAATAATTAAATCTCATTTCTCAGCTGTCCTCTGTAA